ACTTGGCGGAGGCCGGGGCCGGGGCAGGGAGTGGCGCCCCGGACGCCCGCCCGAAGGGCCTCGGGGCGGTGCCGGGGGCGGAGCGGGCCGGGCGCGGCGGCATTAAGTGAAGCTCATGGAGACTGTGTGCTCTAGTGCCTTGCGGCGGAGGGAGGCGATGCTCGTGCCCCGCCACACGTCGCTGCTGTCCGGGGAGCTGCAGAGCTGGGGCGAGCCGGAGACGTTGCTGGGGCCGGGGAGGGAGGCGGGCACCATGCCGGGGAAGGCGGGCTGGTAGAGGTGTGACTGCAGCCCCGCGCCGTTGGAGCCCGCCAGGCTGTTGGACAGGCCCATGGAGTTGGGCGGCGGCCCTGCCGCCAGGCTGCACTGGGACAGCGACTGCGCCATGGCTTGCTGCCTGCCCAGCGCCGGCGGCAGCGGCAGCTGTGACACGCCCGGCATGGCGGCCGCCGCCCAGCGGGTGTCGTTGGCGTGGAAAGAGCACAGGCTGTCGCCCATGGCGGCGGCGGCCGCGGCGGCGGCTGACGGGAACTGAGGCAGGCCCGGCGTGGGCAGCAGCGTGCCCGGCGCGCGGAAGACGTTGGTGGTCTTCTTGCGCTTCTTCCACTTAGCGCGCCGGTTCTGGAACCAGACCTGGAGTAGGCGGGGCGGGAGAGAGACAGGGTACCGTTAGAGAGTCGGCTGTCAGCAGGGGCAGGGGCTTAAGTCCGAGAAACCCGCGTCAGATACACCCAGTCAGCCCCAGGCCGAACAAGTGCCATCGGCCCGACACGCCCCCACACCCAGCCAGAGATCCTGCTACTTCACCAGCTCGAGTCAACTGGTGCCCCTTGCACCCACCAAGGGCCGACTCCCAAGGTCCTGAGCAATTGTACCCCCGAGGGCTTACACGTAGTGCAAACATACCACCGTGTGCAGTGTACACCACGGCCCTGCACACTGGAACATTCTATGCACGGCTTAGATGCACAGGTCTGCAGGCAGGCATGTGTCAAGACTGGACACACAGGTGCACAAATGAAGATAAACATGTGTACCCATGTGGCTTAATAGCGTGCCTTATGACACTGATGGGGTATAGAATTTTCAGAAACGCTGGAAATTTGGAAATTGATGAAGAGCCGTGCACGACATACCCAGTTTCAAAATCGAAAGACAAAGGAAAACCCTTAACGCCACGGATGACAGAGCGAAGAGGTTAATATGGTGATCCATGTGGGAAAGTGAGCGCCACTGAGCTACAGCGTTGTTTGGGTCGCCACCGTGACTTTCTCATAACGATAGGCACTACTGACACAAGTCTCCGTGACTCGCTCGCAAACCTCTCTGAAGACACCTTTATCTGGCTGTGCAAGCGTGCTGGATGGAACTTGCTGCCAGAGCCCTGAGCCCCAGGGCCTTCGAGTTTATTCTTTTGAAGAACTTACAGTATCCCAAATAACAAGGCCTCCAATTCTCTCAACCCCTACCCCCAAGTTTCATCTATAAACTAAAAGCAAATATTCTGACCACTACAAATTAAAGCAGGTCAAGTTTAAAGTTTGCACTAGTTATGAGTCCAATTAATTTTGCTAGAAAAAGCCATGTGTCTTTTTAAAGGAGATGTATTTGATAAACTCCAAATAAACATACGCCTCATACTGGGTCTTTCTTACCAATGACCCTGGAATTTCAGACCTTATCCAACAAATTTGCCTATGGATGTCAAATTCACTACCACTGGGAAGGAAAGGGTTCTTCCTGAAAGATATCAATAAGTCGCCTGACCAAAATAAACTTCCATCTCTCTGTATTTTAATTTGATTAAAAAAAAAAAAAAAAAAGGCCAGCATGCCTACTTAGCAGGCTCGCAGTTTAACATCTACTCAGTTGGAGGTTTACTGTGCATAAATATAAATGATGTGGGGCACAGCTCAGGTACTGATTGAGTTTCCTCTTAGAATTTGGCCAACCTTGCAGTTTGACCACCATATTCGTAGCCAAAAGGTTATTCATCCGTTAATCCAAGCTCTTTCGTGTTTATTCTGCAACCTAAAGTATCATGAGTAAAGAAGTTCCTGACCCGGTTTTCGGTAAGCTAGCTATGCCCAGCGGTGTGTACATACACAGGTGCAAGTGGAGACCCACTCTCCGCTTACCAGCGTGAACGGCATTTTACAATCTAGAATTCTGCCCGCCTTTGGGCTGGCCCTGGCCTCCTCTACCATACCTGCGCCATCGTCCGCTTTCTCTTTCTCTTTTTTCTACCCCATTTCCCACATTTCTGTTTACCCCAGCGTCCGCATCGGGTAAAGATGCCAGGTCCCTTCCTCGCTAAAGCCCCTTGAGCTGGTGGCACGGTGGATTAATGAGGCAGCAGGGCCTCACCGCGGATTGAGCTGTTAGCGGCCTTGGGCAGAGGGTAACACCCAGGAGTCAAAGAAAGCACAGCTAGTAGACTTGCGGCCACAGGTCGCTTTGCATTACCTATCCAAGGCTGCACTGGGGGGAGTAGACTCACTCGATGGAGCCATAGACAGGGACGGTGTCTGTATCCAAACGGTCCCCAAACCTCACACCACATCCGGATGTATTTCTAAAGATATCTACCTTAAAGACCGGTCCCTACCACCCTCCAAGTGTCAGTGAACCCGAAATCTTTCATTGTTTGGGGCTGACAAGGGCGGAGAGTGAAGGTGGTGGACTTGTGTAAAGGAATGAGGAAAGAAGCAGAAAATAATAATGTGTGGGGGGGAAGGGGGATTGTCCCATAGAATTTCAGAAGCAATCATACCTGCCAGCAAGATTTCTGAATCTCAGGCACAGGCCGAAAAGAACAGTTGTTAAAGAACTAAATACTATAGGAATAATCGAAAAATTGTGTTCAATTATGTTTGAGGGTTAGTAGTCAAATGATGGCTACAAAATTTTTTATGTTTCACGGCTTACTGGGGTTGGGAAAAAAAATCTGCATGGGGTTTGAGCACCTCCGTTTCAAGCTATGATGCATATGTTTTTAAAATGTGAATGTTTCCACTTGAAAACTAGAGCATGACGGATTAAAATGCAGGCAAAACCTAAGGGAGATTTTGAGAATGCACAGATGACAACTCCAAGAAATATATTAACCACAGCCATGGGCCAACTTTGTACTCAGTTTGAAATGCAGCTCCTCTCAGAAAATGCTTAATACAACAGTGAGAATCTAATGGAGGTTGGAATTTAAAAAACCACTTTCACGATATCTGCTGTTACAGTAATATAGACATACTGTAAATGTATTTTAAAATATATAGCCCATTTAATTCATCACCTATAAATGGCTCAGAAATAGAGAAAGAGAGGGAGAAAGAGTGAATATTACTTTTCCTCTCTCAAGCAAACGCTTTATGAAGATCTCATTGGAATCCAGCAAATGATTAATGTGAAGATTTGGGAGGAAATCTGGGGAGCTGTATTAAAGCCTAGATCTCAGGTTCATTTCGATCAGCCAGCCGTGAACTCTGGGCCGAATTCATTACACTTTAATAGTGCTGGGAGAGGAAGAAAATGCAATTTCTCATTCCATTAGAAAACTAGAAAATACTCTCAGCTTGTCCCCCTATTAAGATGTGGCAGGTGACAGGGCCATTCTGGGGGACACGGTCAATGGAATTACAGCACATTATTTTTGTTCGTATAAAATATTGAAAGGCAAGCCTGACTGTGCAGAAGTTATTTCACTGATTTGGTTTTTATGTAAATAAAATATTGAAAGTTAATTAATCCGTGCTAGAGACTAATGATTATGCTTATTATATTGCATTTGATCGCGTAATTTGCATGATTCTCGCATTGCTGCTTAATAAGCCATCCCAGGTTATAAATAATTCTGAAATTGGTTTCTAATAATGGCATGCTATAAAAGGAATGGTTTTATTACACTAGCCAGAAAAGGGGAGCAATATCAGACATGGAATTGGCCTCTATGTGAATGGAGGTGCTTTAATAAATACTTTAAAGTATGATATATACCAGACATAGATAAAAATAAATATGTTAGATCATTTAGTCTTGAATCAGAAAGCATCTTTAAAAACATACAATTGCAATAAATTAAATATTTAGATCATTTTTAATCAGTGCAGTGGCCCACATACTAAAGAGAATGTGTGGCAATCTGTTAACGATAAAGAAATCTATGAAGTACTCATCATATAAGAACATAAACCAATTACTATTTAATTTGAATTTGGTCAAGGAGCAATGGTACAGTGAATTGTGAAGTAAATACATTTTCCATAAATTTTGCATTACATTACATAATGTTAATCATTTTGAAATGTTAATTAAAAAGGTTATGTTGATCTGATTACTTTTTAAACTATGGAACATTATTTTTAAAAATATTGAAATTGCCATTCTATTAAATTGTTCCTATCAGCAGCCTAGAGCTATTATCTTTGGTTGAACATTATGCTAGAACAATTAAAGTACTTTGTCTCTTTCTTCTTTATTATTCTTTTATGTACTTTTTGGAAAAAAAAAACTTTCTATTACATAGTTTGTATTTTATTTCACTTACAACTTTTTCTATTAAAAGAATCACTGCATTAACCTTCGGAAGATCTAATAAAGTTTAGTAGACCTCGTTTTCTTTTTTCATAAAGTCAGTTGTCCAATTATATTTTATTTGTGATTCCAAGTTTTATTTCGATCTAAACGAATTACCAGTCTGTCTAGGTTAAGCAACAAAATTTTACTTTTTAAAACAAAAATTATTAGGTAGTATTTCTCTCGAGGGACAAAAAGCAAATTTATGAATTTTGAAACTAAAAAATTCTAACAAGCCAATATTATCATTAGCAGTAATGGAAGTATTAAAATTGTATATTTCTGTTAAGGTTTCAACTACAGACTTAAAAAGAGATGCGAGGTAAAAATTTTTAAAGAGCATTACTAATATATATCTGTACACTACAATTAACATTCTTTTGGTGCTCAGTATCAATGGTCCATGGTTCAGGGCTTCTAGAGTTCACTAACGAAACCACCCAGACTTATATTGAATAATATTATTAATCTATGTTATAGCCTGAATATTAATTTGACCACTTTAAGTCTCCAGTTACATTCATTTGCTAACTATTTAGAACAGAAGCATATACAATTTTTCCAGGTTAGACTATCTTTAAAATGCTCAATGGGGATCAAAATATTCAAACTGTGATTATGGACACCCTTGTCTCTTACTTCTTAGGTCAAATGTAAAGCAACTAAAATCTTTAAACTTAATTTAAACATCCAGAGCTGAGGCTGACACCCGGGATAACGTACAGAAAATACCACGTACAAGACAGGAAAGAAGATTTTCAGCACCCTGGAGAGTTCGAGATTAAGTGCCCGTCTTGGAATCTCACCTACAGCACCCCACACCCATGAAATATTTGATACGTTTTCATCCCTTTAAAAAGCGGGCGTGGGGTGAGAGTCACTGATTTTATGCTTTTATTCTCCAGTTTTCAGAAAAGTTATAGGAGTGATTTTCTAAGTTATATATAATTTACAATTTGGAGGGTGGCTGGACAAGAACAAGGAGTCAGTAATGATTTTGTCTACTACTTGTCAATCTTTCCTGCCCTAAATGTCCTGTCTTCGGATCGGATATTCAAAACAAAAAGCCATCATTTTTTCCCAGTTTCTTTAGGGGAAAACCAAGGCTCATAGACTGTGGGGGATTGCTATTGCCGCCTCCAGTGCATTGGTTGACCTCCAAAATTCGAATCCTTTGCAAACGTCAAAGCTAGGAGTATTCTGCCTGAGCAGCAGGAAGGTGATATTCAGGAGAATAAAGCTACACCGTGAAACCCGGGGCGGGGGGATCTGTTTTAAAAGGCCCTTATCGCGCCTTATTTTTTTCCCTTTTTGTGTTTTCTATGTAGTTGTTGCATTCCCCCGTTCATCCAGACGCTTAACACAAACTCATTAGGGGGTAATGAAATACTTGTCGATAACGCAAGCTAACGTGGAAGTGAGCGCTCGGCTTACAACCTGGGAGAGGCGAAGGCTGGAAGACTTGAAGATTCCCTTCTCAGGAGGAAGGAGTTCCTAGCAGTCAAACAATGCCGGCTTCGCTTTTGAGGAGTTTCTGCTACGCTATGGCTATAGCGGTGGGAGATGGATGCCCTGCCTGTCTATAGGGAATGGCGGTCGGGCTAGTCTCCAGGCAGAGGGGCTAACTCCACCTAGGAACGCGTAGGCTTCTGAAGCTCAGCCCAGGATCCCGGCAGGGCGAGGAAAGACCCCCGCTTCCTTTGCCCAAATCCTCTCGCTCCCTCCTTGTGTTCTGCCCCGGCGCCCACGCCCGGCGTACCTGCACTCGGGACTCGGTCAGTCCAATACGCAGCGCCAGCTCCTCGCGCATGAAGATGTCGGGGTAGTGAGTCTTGGCGAAGCTCCTCTCCAACTCGTTGAGCTGCGCCGGGGTGAAGCGCGTTCGGTGGCGCTTCTGTTTCTGTTGGCCTTGCTGCTGGCCGGTTTGGCTGGGGTTCGGGCCTCCTTGAGGCCCCGGCTGCTTGTCTGGGTCCTTTGCGCTCACCGCCAGCGAGGCCGGCGTCGAGCCCACAGTGGTGATGTCCTCCCCGGGCAACAGAGTGGCTCCCTCGACTGGGTCGGAGTTGGACGCTAGGTCCCCCGGATGGCCCCCGGGGTCGGAGCCCCCCACGCCCAGCCTACATTTCACCGCCTCCCGGTGGCCCAGAAGCTCGGCGGCATCTTTCATACCTGAGGAGGCAAGGGGATCGCGATCACTACCTTCCTAGCGATGCCAAGAAAGACAGTCCTTTCCGCGCGCTCCTCCTGCAGCCCCATCCTCGGCTCCCTCCGCGCCCACGTTCGCCCAACCGAAAAAACTCCAGGAGTGGTCGGCTGGGTTCCCCAGGTTTTGGACAGCCAGGCTGGAATCCCATCTCCGGGCCCTTTCCCCTCTCTCTGCAGCTGGCTTTCGTAAGCAGCACATGCTCTCTTCTCTCCCACAACGAAACACTCCCAGTCCCGACAATGAAACATCCCTCGGAATCCCTTTCAGGAACGGTACCCCGGGCGCCCCAGAAACCCGAGGCCATATCCGAGAGAGAAAAAGGAAAGAAAAGAAAACAATGATTCCTAGGTTGCTGCCCCACCTGCGTGCGCTTAGGCAGCCTGACGAACTCTACCTCCGGCCCTCAGCCGATTCCCACTCACTTTCGGAAGACGAATATGTCTCCAAGCCTTCCACCCCCCGAAATCAACTGAAATCAGCTCCGCCTCCCTCTCAAATCAAGAAAGTGTTTGGAAAATGGAGTCACATCCATCAACAAAGATTCCCAAACCAGAAACTCAGACAGCTTTAAAGAAACTCGAGTAAAGTCAGTAGACACGACAGTGAATCAAACTTTAGAGAATTCAACTTCTCTTTCCGGAGAAATAAAAGGCGCGTTCCTCACAGCCATTGGCAATGCCGAGTCTTATGCAGGCGAGGATGCCTGGGAGGACGAATTTGGCTTTTCTCCTTTCTCAATGAGCACACAGCACATCCGCTTCTGTTGCAATGGCTTCTCCTTTATGCCAGATTTTTACAAACTCAACCATACTTAGACCAGAAGGAGAGAAGGAGATAGTGAAGAGAGAGAGAGGAAAAAAAGAGGAGAAAGAAATCTCAAATTAAAGCAAACAGAAGGGGAAAGAGAGAAAGAAAAACACCTCCAAACAAATTATCATGAGGTAGATCGCATTTCAAAAAATAATAATCATAAGGGGGAGGGGGAAGAGAAAAAAAGTAGGAAAAACAAAAAGTAACATTTCCCAAACTCATTTTTCTGATCTACATATTCCATGGATTTTTTAAAAAGACGATATTAAATCAAATTAAACTTTAATGCAGCACAATTACTTTTAAAGAAATTAGTCCATTTAGGGCGCATTAAGGTAAAATAAGGAACAAATTGACAATTTCCTGCCCAGGCTTCTCCTGGCTGCCCGGGCGAGAGGCGCGCACTCACCTAGCCTGGCGTCCAGGAGGTCGGCGTGAGACAGCATCGCGCACCGCTCCAGGGCGAAAGCTGTTCCCCCCCAAATTTTAGCGGCTTTAAGTTATTTAAAATAGATATAAGCTATAAGCTATACGATATAGACATATAGATCACCTAAATGAAAGAAAATTCGGTTTGTGGTTAAAAAGGGGGCTTCTTGCATTATAATGTCCTTTAGAGAGACGGGGAGGTGCTTAACAGTTGAATGAACCCGTGAGCAGCTCGGCGAGGGGACCAATCAGGAGGGCAGCCTGCAAATGTCAGCGCCCGGAGAGTCCCCCACTCCGCCCGCCCGCCCGCGCCCGCCTGGAGGAGGCGGCGGTGGCAGCTCCGGCGGCTCCAGCCCCGAGCAGCAGCTAAAGCAGTGGCGGCCGCCTCGGTCTCGCCCTGGGCTTCGGCGCCCGGCCTCGGTTAGAGCTTCCCTGCATTTTCTCCAGTCACGCCTTTCCTTCTCCTCCTGCCCTGCTCGCTCCAAAGCCGCAGCTGTCTCTTTGAGCTAGGATCTTCCTGAGGCAGAGGCAAAGCAGGGGACAGAGCAGGACATGACCCCCGCGTGACCCGAGATTTCCCCGCCCGCGAGCTCTAGGCGACACTGACTTGCCTCTGGCGACGCGGGCCTGCCAATCCGGAGCATAACAAGGGCACACGGCGGCCTCAAGACCGTGCGTAGACTCGCTGCTGCCCAGCAGGCCTGGGCCTAGGGTCCAAACGCCCTGGCTGGGACCCCGGGCCTACTGAGTCCCAGCTCCGCTGCAGGCCTAGAACTCAAAAAAGAAGTCGACTCCATGGGAGCTTCCCGGGCTTGCGCGCAGTGTGGATTCATGCACTCTGCATGCACCCTTTCCGCTCCGCTCCCGCTCCTCTACCCAGGCCACGCTTCCATCCTTGCCCATGGCCCGCTCTTTTGGTCAAAGTTTCTAAGTTCTGCTCGGCTCTCAACTCCACTTAAGGCTGTAAATAAAGTTAAATGCTCTTTATTTTCCTCTTGAATATGTTAAACTACTTGAACAATTTAAAGTGCTTTGCACAAGTGAAGCGAACCATTTCTAATGTTCTGATTTTTCAGAGCCAGCCAACAACAAAGTTTAGATTAGTAATATATTTCTAACCAGAGTAATTTTCAAGATCATTAGGCATTTATGTAATTAGTGCCAAATCTATAAGCTTTTATTACGATTATTAGAGTAAAATCAGTATAAATTTGTACTAATTTACTACTGTTTAGACTTGGCTGTCAAGCCCAGAGGTTCTTATTGTAAATGATAACTGAGGAAATTAAGTGCAAAATTCTGTACCATTTCTGATCTGCTCCTAAACAATCCGTTTCAATTGTATTTGTAGCAGAACATAATGCCCTTTTAAAGTTATTTGACTTGTATTTTTATTCGCAACACAAGAAAAATGCCCTCTATCCAGGCACAATGAAAACTGATATTTACTGCTCTCAACTTGATTAACATTGATTTTTAATTCGAGGGTGATGCAATTAAGATTATTCATTCAGTGCAAATAAAGCTTCCACAAAAGGGTGGCCCTATGAAGTCTGTTTTAAATAATACCGAGCAAATGGCTTTTTTTTGTTCGCCGTCCAATTGACTTACACAAAACATTGGAAATGCTGCCTGAGAGCAGATGCGAGAGGAATTGTGTGAGTGTGTGTGTGTGAGTGTGTGTGCGCGCCCTTAGCTGTGTGTGTGACAAGGATCGAGTAAGGAGACAAAGGAGGCAGCAAGGCGAACTCTGGGGCAGTTCTGCTTCCTCCTCCGTCTCTCCTATAGCCCGTTCCCCTCCCTCCCATGCACATACACGTGCGCGCGCACACACATGCACACACACGTGTGAGTGCCGGGCATTTGCTACACCGGTTCCTTCCGAGCTGCGGAGACCCTTTCCCCCGAAACTCAGTGCGGGGCCGAATTCAGCGGCCGCCGCGGATGCTGCCAACGCGGCCTATGTGAGACTGGAATGAAAGGACTGTGGGCTCCAGCTTGGCTGAGGCAGCGTGTTTGCGAGCCGCTAGGGTGCTCGAGAAGTGCCTACTGTACTTTCGAGAAAGGGTTTGCTTGGGAAAAGAATGCTTAAACCTAAAGCAAATAGAGTCCCTGCAATAAAAGCTTTCCTTTCCCCAAACAAAACCCCAAATCTAGACGCTACAGAGCCGGGGGCGTGCGGCAGGAGGCAGGACCGAGGCCCGGAGCAAGGGGGCGTGCGCCTTGGACGTGGCCCTCGAGTGCGCACCTGGCTGCACGTTCCCGTGGACACGCAGGGGGGTTGTGTCCACTTGGGAGGGGCTTGCAGGACATCCATGACCGGGACGCAGGGGTGGAGGTGCGAAGAAGTGTCAAAGGACGAGGCAGGAACCCTGACAGAGGCACCGCGCTCCTCTAAACCAGCAGGTCCGCTGAGGCCCGCACTGCGGGGGCTCCGCACCGCGTGTGGTGGGAGGGGGAAGAGGCTGTGACCTGGAGAGAAGGGCGCGGCGCCCCAGTCTACACCAGTGTGCACGCCAGCGCTCGTGTCCTTATCCCACAGCCGCCCGCCGAAGAACCATTGGCCGTGCAGCGTCCTCCCACACGCACTCGCTCGTATATTCTGTTTTGTTGTATCTTTCAGGTCGATAAATAAATGTGTAATAGTTAATGTGAAGACACATCAGAGTAATAACAATGGGACGAAATCAAAGGATTATCCATCTCTGTTAGTAACCGCTGAATAACAATGTTGCGGCGTGATTGATAGCCCGCTTCATTTTATGACTTTTCTATTGGTCTTGATTTTTATAGCAGTATAAACAAACTAAATCATTTCTTCCAAGACTTCAGAGCATAAGCATGGGGGGTGGAGGGGAAGATAAAGGAGAGGGGAAAAAAGGAAATCTGAGAGTGGGAGGGGGTAGGAGGGGTGGCGGTGGGGGCGTCGAGGTGGGGAGGGCTCAAGCTGGAGCTAGAGCCGGGAGCTGGGAGCCCGCTGCCAGCAGGCGTGGCGAAGAAAACGACAATAGTCTGGATGTAAAATGCTCGCCCCCACGCGGGTTTCCTCTCGGCAGCTCGTTCTGGCCAATGTCTGAATACACCTGGGCAGCGCCTGAGATGTATTTACCAGAGTTTTATTCCCCGTCATCTTCCCACGTTCCTGGGGCAGCCTGGAAAGTGCCGGTCAGGCCCATTGCTGTTGATAATTTAAGGCATTTCCCACATGATCATGGGAACTGAAGTCCCTAACAAGGCGAGGTTTTAGCGCAATGGCCCCCAAATCTTCGGAATGACAAGAATGTCTTTAGAAATCACTTCAAAGCAAAGTAAAAGGATTTTCTATGACGGATCCAGTGATTTTTCCTCAATAAATAGGTTTTAGATTGTTACACACACGTAGAAGTGGAACAAAGGGAACTACCAGAAAATATATTGGTTGCCCCTAATAAAATTTATTTAGACAGTTTACTTCTCATAAAAAATAGAGATTGAATTTTGTACAAGAGCCTGCCAAGGGGCGATGCACAGGGAAATCATTTTTTTCTTTCTCCCTTTCCCCCTTCTCTTTTTTAACAAAGCACAAAAAGCACTTAAGGCCAAGGACTCGCTCCCGCTCCCATCGGGCCGCGCGCCCAGACCGAGCCAGAGAACTTTGTAGTTTTAAGAGAAGTCGGCTTTCTGGGAGATACATTTTTTAAAAAAGAAAGGAAAGGAAAGAAAGAAAAGAAAGAAAGAAAGAAGGGAGGGAGGGAGAGAGAGAGGGAAGGAGGGGGAGCGAGAAAGAGAGAGAGAGAGAGAGAGAGAGCGAGAGAGAGAGAGAGAGAGAGAGAGAGAGAGAGAAGAGAGAGGAGAGAGAGAGAATTTTATTATAAGACGTTGGCACATACAATTATGAAGGAAGGAAGGAAGGAAGGAAGGAAGGAAGGAAGGAAGGAAGGAAGGAAGGGACAAGAAAAAGAAAAACCCTCATGGCTGATTGTGTAAACTACAAAAACACAAACTACAAAATCGGTGTCTTGCCTCCTGCTTTGCCATCCTGGTCCAGAGCAAGATTTAGAAATATGGTGAGGCTGGATGGGGAGATGGGTTGGGGTGGGAGATCCAGACAGCAAGTGGTTTAAAGATATATGCTGATTAGATTTGTAATTCTGATTTTCTCCCTAATTGTGTTTCTGCGTTTATTGTTAATTCTTTGTAGAGACGGAGAGACAGAGAATAAAGAGAGAATAAAAATATATACCGGGTGCTCTTGAAGAACTGGGTAACGTGGCCAGCGCCCTAATTGCTTTTTCCACTTACAGAAACCTCGGATGTTTATTAAATGGAACTTTCGGCTGCTGGGGTTGTTTGCAAACTGCTCTCTTTTCTGTGCAGACAGTGGGCTGAAATATGGCGCGTTATTATTCACATTCCTCTTATTAAATGCTGAATTGTAACATTGTTCCCTTTAATGAGGAGGGCCTCCCTCAATAATTAACGATCTCACATTTTCCTATTTTCTTGCTTGATGAAAAGAATCAATTTTAATTCGTGGTAAATTACAGCCATGCTTTTGGGTATTATTTGCTTACAGAAAACAAATCAAGTGACTTGAACACTCCTGTTTACTTTTCCAAATATGCAATAACCCAAATGCTATGGCAAATCAGATTGTGTTCCTCAGGCCTATGTTAGAACCTTAGAAAGAATAAAGGGTGGGGGCAAATACTCCAGGAAAACAAACAAACAAAAAAACCCAGAAAGCTCTCAAATCCATTGCATTTGAAACTATGGTGACTACTTTTGCCCAGATCTTGCCCCAGGTGCCAGAACCTATTCTCCCCCAGTCCCCACCCTCTCCTCCCCATCCTCGTTTTTGACTAGGGTCAGTGGTCCACACCAGAGTTTGGGATTGCTTGATGTATGGTTCATTTGGGGGAAGTCGATTTGAGGGTGGAGTGAGTGGAAGGAAAGAGATCTGGGAGGGCAGCCAAGTCTCTGGGAAGGGGTGACAGGCGCTTCCACACTTCTCTGCATAAAAGAACTCTCTTGAGGT